TACTGGTCATTACTGGTCAGTCCTGGTCAGTGCTGGTCACTACTGATCACTACTGGTCACTACTGGTCACTACTGGTCAGTGCTGGTCACTACTGGTCACTGCTGGTCACTGCTGGTCACTACTGGTCTGTACTGGTCATTACTGGTCACTACTGGTCTGTAATGGTCACTGCTGGTCACTACCGGTCACTACTGGTCACTACTGGTCAGTCCTGGTCAGTGCTGGTCACTACTGATCACTACTGGTCACTGCTGGTCAGTTCTGGTCACTACTGATCACTACTGGTCAGTACTGGTCACTGCTGGTCACTACTGGTCTGTACTGGTCATTGCTGGTCAGTACTGGTCACTACTGGTCACTACTGGTCATTACTGGTCAGTTCTGGTCACTACTGGTCAATACTGGTCACTACTGGTCACTACTGGTCAGTTCTGGTCAGTTCTGGTCAGTGCTGGTCACTACTGGTCACTACTGGTCACTACTGGTCACTACTGGTCAGTTCTGGTCAGTGCTGGTCAGTGCTGGTCAGTCTGGGTCAATTTTGGGTCATTTTGGGGTCAATTTTGGGTCAATTTCGGGTCATTTCTGGGTCATTTTCAGGTCAATTTTGGATCAATTTTGGGTCAATTTCGGGTCATTTCTGGGTCATTTTCAGGTCAATTTCGGGTCATTTTTGGGTCATTTTCGGGTCAATTTTGGGTCACTTCGGGGTCAGATTTTGGGTCAATCTTGGGTCGATTTGGGGTCAGATTTTTGGGATTGCTTTTCCCGCCATTTTGAGCCGATTTCCCGGGATTTTCCCCCATTTCCGCCTCCGCCAGGGGGCGCTGTTGGGCACGCAGGTGCTGCTGATGACGTCATCGCTGGCCGGGGCAATCCTGGCTGTGATTGGCTGCGTGGCGGCCACCAGGGCGCGCCCGAGGGCGGAGCCAATGGTGAGTGACAGCAAAGGGGGCGTGGCTTGTAACCCTAAACGAGGGCGTGGCTTATACAGCGCTTGCTTCCTTATATGGGCAAAGGGGCGTGGCCTGCTCTGACCACGCCCCCTTCTCCTCCCCCCACAGCCCGTGGTGATTTATCAGACAGCTCTGCCCGCCCAGGGGGCGGGGCCAGCCGAGGCCACGCCCCTCGAGACGAAATAAAGACCAATCACAGCTGAGCGTGGATTTGGCGCGTCTGATTGGCTGGGATGGGGGGTGACGTCATCAGAGGGGAAATGGCGGGGAAAATGGGCGGGAAAAAATGGGGAAAAATGGGGGGAAAATGGGAAAAATTGGGGAAAAATTGGGGGAAAATTGAGGAAAAAATTGGGGGAAAATTGGGGGAAAATTGGGGGAAAAAATGGGGAAAAAATGGGGAAAAAAGGGGAAAAAATTGGGGAAAAATGGAAAAATTGTGGGAAAATGGGAAAAAATGGGGAAAATTGGGAAAAAATTGGGGAAAAATGGGAAAAATTGGGGAAAATTGGGAAAAAATTGGGGGAAAATGGGAAAAGATTGGGGGAAAATAGGAAAAAATGGGGAAAAAAGGGGGAAAAATTGGGGAAAAATTGGGGAAAAATGGGAAAAAATGGGAAAATGGGAAAAATTGGGAAAAATTGGGAAAAATTGGGGAAAGATGGGGGGAAATGGGAAAAAATGGGGAAAAAAGGGGGAAAAATTGGGGAAAAAAGGGGGAAAAATTGGGGAAAGATGGGGAAATGGGAAAAATTGGGAAAAAATGGGGAAAAATAGGAAAAATTGGGGGAAAAATGGGAAAAATTTGGGAAAATGGGAAAAAAGGGGGAAAATGGGAAAAAAAGGGGGAAAATTGGGGAAAAATGGGAGAAAAATGGGAGAAAAATGGGAAAAAAGGGGGAAAATGGGAAAAATTGGGGGGAAAAGGGGGAAAATGAGGGAAAACGAGGCAGGAAGAGGAAAAAATGTGGAAAAATGGGAAAACGAGGGAAAAAACGTGGAAAAAAGGGAAATTTAGGGAAAAACAAGCTCGAAATGGGGGGGAAAGAGGCAAAAATGGGTGGAAAAGGGGAAAAATTGGGAAAAATCAGGAGGAATGAGGGGAAAAATGGGCGGGAAGGAGGAAAAAATGGGAAAAAATGAACCGAAAGTGGGGAAAATGAGGCAAAAATGGGAAAAATCGGGGAGAAAAAGGGTGGGAAGGGGAAAAACCGTGGGAAAATGAGGCAAAAATGGGAGAAATCGGGAAAATGAGGGGGAAAATGGGAAGGAAGGAGTGAAAAATGGGGAAAAAATGAACCAAAAGTGGGGAAAACGAGGGAAAAGTGGGGAAAATCTGGAGGAAAAGGGAAAATCTGGAGGAAAAGGGGGAAAATGGGGTGGAAAGGGGGGGAAATGGGGAGAAAAGGGGGGGAAATGGGAAAAGCGAGGCCAAACTGGGCCAAACTGGGCCAAACTGGGCCAGAGCGGGGCGGGAGCGGCTGAGTCAGAGCGTCCCGGGATTAACGAGATCCGGGGAAACTGAGGCAGGAGCCGCCCCTCCCCCAGGCCGGGCGAGGCCACAAAAAGGCGGTGGAGGGGGGGGGGGGGGGGGGGGGGACAGAGGCGACAGCGGGGACCAGGATGGGACAGAGGTGAGGAAAAATGGGGGAAAAACGGGGGGAAATGGGCAAAAATGGGGGGAAATGGGGGGAAAATGG